TTAATAGTCGACTACTTAAAACAGATTTTACATATTTACAGTTTTCAAACATTTTGGACTTTTACCTATCAAACCCATAACCCAATATCCATTTCAATTAAGTAAATTTCATCACAACCATTCAACATCTACCTGATCAAATCATAGCCCTTTATCACATTTCATCTAGATCAAATCTTAACCACATATTTGTTTTCTCATTTAATCATGACCATTCAATTTTTACCTTACAACAAAATCACCCTAACTCCTCTCCCAAACCGATTCATCTCTTTCCCCACTTCAGAACCCACGTTCTCCATTCTAGAGTTTCTTAAAATCAACATCTTTCTCCAAATCTTTTTCAATATTTTCTTGTTTCCAAGCATTTGTCAGAACTTGTAGTCGACTACATCCTGTTTTAGCCGACTACATCTAGGGTCTCATCTGTTGGGTAAGATCTTCAACCAATTTTTTCTCCAAGTTCTATTTATTGTTGTTATCATGTTTGGGGCTAAGAAATCTAAGCAAGTTCTTTCTAATGTCAATGATGAAATCATCATATATTTAAAAAGTCTTGATTTACTTAAAGAATTTAACAAAATATCCACATTTGAAGTTCTTCCAGGGCGATTTGTGAAATTTGATGATTTTATCCCATGGAATTTTAGATCATACTTTGAAAATGTGGGGTTACTTGAATTATTCTCTGCTAAAAAAACCCATATATCCATTTTTAGTTCAACTGTTCTTTACTAATATAGAACATGTAGGAACTGTAAGTGGAACTGAAAAGCTTAAAACTCTTGTCAAATGAATAGAAATTGAATTGACTTCTAAGTCAATTGGAAAAATTTTTAACATTCCTTTCCGAGGAGTCTCTTTTAGGTCAATCAGAATGAATGATTTAGAATTGCTATCCAATCATATTTTTCTTCCTGGTTATAGTAAACCATTGAATAATTCGAATAAGCTTCGTCTAATTCCTCGTTTCATTGCTCGAATCTTAGCTTATAACTTGTTTCCAAAAACTGGGAGTTTCCATTTCATTTCCCTAGACTTAGCAAAATCTTTATATGCTATAATAGGGAATATCCAAGTTAATTGGGCTGAAGTTTATTATGACAATCTTCTGACAATACCAAAATGATTTCTTCCTTATGGTGCTTTTCTAACGAAAATATTTGATAAATTTCATGTTGATCTTGAGTCTGAAAATTCTGTTGTTCGTTCCATTGAGTTCTTTGACTCTAATGCCCTAACTAGAATGAAATTAACTAATTTTGAAATTCATGATCAAAATCCTCAAGATGAATCTCACCCTCCTCAAGAACAAATTCCACACGAAATTCCTCAAACCTCAAGTCAAGCAGGCCCTTCTTCTAGCCAACAACAACCACAAATGTACTCAGAACCCTCTTGCTTCTCGGATGTGCAATATAACATCTTGTCTGCACGCATCCTTGAGTTAGAGACTGGTCAGCGAGCTCTTTATTCCCAGAATAATTACATCATCAGTAATCAGGATGAGTTAATGAAGAAATCTGATAACTTGGATATGAAGCTCAATGCATATTTCCAAGGAAATCAACCTCCTCCGGGACCTTCATCTTAGAAGACCATGAATGCATCATTTAGTATTTATATGAACTTTATGTTTGTTATCAAAACAATTATGTCTTACTTTGGTATGTTTAAGTTTGAGTGTCACAAACTATGTCGTAGTTATTTGTTTTTAAGACATATGTAATATGTGTTATGTTGCTACTATGTTCCCTTTAGTATGTTTCTTATGTGACAGAATTTTATGTTGTTTTTATGGTGTTTAGATAGTTAATTCATATCCTATATATTTTAAACAGATTATGGTGATGAACGTTGTGGAACTTTTGGTTTTTATGGTAAGTCTTTGCCTACCTATTTGGATGGGTGAAGTTATGGACTATGTTCATAATCTGGATGATCTGTTTGAAGTATTAGTTCATGTTGAAGAAACTATGGCATGTTTAGAAGTGTTTATTTCTTTTTTTTAATGACAAAGGGGGAGAAATGGTATAAATGTTATAGACTTAAGTTAATATTATAGACTCTAATATGCATTTATGCAGGGGGAGTAAGTATATTTGTTTCCAAATGTTCTAATTCTTTTAGAATATACTTACATATGCATAAATTGTTTATCATCATCAAAAAGAGGGAGAATGTTAAATATCATGTCTCCACGATATTATTTTGATGATAACAATTTATACTATGTGTGTTATACAAATGCACTAACATTTAAATACAGCTTTCAACATCAAATATGAACAAGTGCAAGATGAGTTCAAGTTATTATGAAGTAAAGAAGATGAAGAACATATACATCAATGTAATTTTGTTTTACATTTTTCTTTACTTAGAAATATTGTACAAGCCTTGATCACACACACATACAAATTAGAACACACTAACACATTCTTAGTGTGTTAGTTAACTATAAAAATCCCCTATGTTAACCATTAGATTTTATAGTTAATAATTGAGTGTCAAAACATTTAATTCATATCATTTGTAACCATTTGTAGTCGACTAATTAGAATAATAGTCGACTACTCAAGCCAATGATTGAAATATAAGTTGCTGTTAATTTACAGTGTAGTCGACTAATCTACTTTATAGTCGACTACAAGAGGCAAAAACAATTTCTCAAGTTTCTGTTAAGTTTCTGTTATTTTACAGTATAGTCGACTAATCAACTTTATAGTCGACTACTAAAGGCAAAATCTTTTTTTTTCAAGTTTCTGTCTAACTACAGTATAGTCGACTATTAACCATTATAATCGACTACTAAGAAATTTTCTGACTTCACAGAGTCTGTTGAGACTCAGTGTAGTCGACTACTTTGTCCTGTAGTCGACTACAGATACAGTTTTTTTCCAGAATTTAAAGTTTGAATTAATAACAGTTTATTGCCATTTTTAAATGTTTTTTAAAGTTTAAAATTTGTCTTTTCAAGGACTATATAAAGGTTATCTCTTCAGAAAAATGCAACATGAATACATACCTATAAGCTTTGATCTTTGTGCATTTTTCAAGAGTAAAAAATTCAGATTTTGCTAAAAAGATTTTTTTCCGAAATTGCCTTTGATCCTCGTTCAAAATACATATTATTTAGGCAATTTCTAGAGATTAAAATTATTTCTAAGCCACTGCTACACAACACTATAAATCAAGGCTTATAGGAATTGAGTTGTTTGATTCAATGAAAGTTCTCTTGGTTAGAGAGAGGTTGATCTCTTGGTCTAGAGATTGATGTGAAATTGGCAAGGTGTTGTCAATTGGTGTTGCAATTTGCAGGGGCTTGCAAATTGGTGTTGCAATTTGCAGGGGCTCAGGTTTGGTTTTAATTTTGTACTTGGTTCAAAATTATAGTGGAAATCTTAAGCGGGATTTGCTTGGGGACTGGATGTACACCGGATTGGTGGAACCAGTATAAAATCTCTTGTTTGTGATTGTGATTTTTTAAGATTGTTATCATTCTTTATTACAATTTACTATCTACTTTGTATAAATTTTAAAAAGAATACTATTCACCCCCCCTCTAGTGTTCTAGTGTATCTATTTCAGATCCTACAATGAGAACGCGGGCGACTACACTCCGTGATGCATCATTATTTTGGTGTTTGAGTGTGTAGGTCTGTGTACCGTATGATATAGCGGGCGACTGCACTCCGAGTATGCTAGTTCGTGAGCCGCATGATACTACGGACGACTACACTCTACATATTTAGGAAGCCTAGAACTCAGACGAGTACTATTTGTGGAAGTAGTTCAATATTTGATATTCTTATGTGGTGGTGTATACTTGACTAGGCTTTCACAGGATTGTACTTTTGTTTCCGTGCCACCTATCCGAGGGTAGCGTGAGATATTATGATACGACTTGTTTTTATACACCTAACTTCTTCCCCCTGGGGACGGTGGAGATGTTCTCGCTAGCGCTTTGACGCTCGTTGTTTTTATTTTTTTCATGCAGCGAGTCAGCGGTTCGGAGAGTCGCAGGTTGGCGGGGACTGAGTATAGATTTCTGTCTTTTATAGGTAGCTACTTGGTGCTCCACGTGAACTTCTATGATTTTAGTTTTTCTTTTAGAGATGTGTTTTATTTTGGAGGCTGAGTACCATTGTACTTTTCAGTTGACTCTTATGTATTAGAGATTCGATGTTTTTATTCTAGTTTATCAGATGTATTTTCTTTTCTTCCGTTAGAACATAATTATAGCTATTATTGGATATCTCTTCTTTATATTGTGTTCTTTATATCATCACCTTTGATATATCTGCTTGTACCCTCACTTCTTATTTTTGATATCTGCTAGAATGACAGTAATTGTGACTGTGAAACATGTTTATGCACAGTGTTGGGTGCATGACAGGTTTGACATCTTTAATTTTACTTTGGATTACAGCCTTGTGTGAAACCATGGGCGTCACAATGAACCATTCCAATCATCAATTTTCAGATTCATCAAAAACATGAATCACAATTATTCCCAGTATGTGAATCATTCCAATCATCAACTTTCTGATTCATTGAAACATGGATCACATTATGATTTTCGTTATGGATCACATTATGGATAACCTACAAATCTATAATAGATTCATCAATCGCGTCACGTAGGATAGTTTTGAAAATTTATAAAGCTTTAGCGTGCATGTCACAAACTACCTATGAAAACAATCACAGGCCAGCATCTTGTAAGATCTGATCTAAGATAATATCATTATCTTGAGGGTTGAACATATACAAGTAGACTAATCAAGGAGTAAACAGGAGGATTTAAATAATATATCATCTTAATCAAGCATCACATGAGGGATTTCAACAATACCATATTAATCAAGCATCACATGATACAACTACTGTTACTCCTTAGTTAAAAAAACATACGTCTTGTGATTCACATGATTGAGATAATAGGAGATCCGTGACAAATGCAACTATATGAAACATTTACAAATAAACTAATCAAGGAATAGACAAGGAACAATAAGACAATATCATCTTGATCAAGCATCACATGTTAACAGAATCATTAGCTACGGAACATACATCCCAAGGTTTTACATGATTAGCTAACAGAGGGATGTGGGACAAATAAAAATACATGAAACCCACATTTATTCCCCTTTTGGCTCAACACTGAGCTCATTAATTCTGCGGAAATTTCACCAAGATTATTTGGTGAAATTTTTTAAAAAATCTAAATCAAATTTAGTCACCAAACAAATTTGATTGCAAACAGAGATGTCATCAGTCCTTTGGATTGTTGAAGCTGTGTACAAATCCAATTGGAATCATTCTTCTAAGCCTGTTGGGTTTCCCTCTTCAAAATAACAAGAAAGGACAACAACAGAAACATCAATGAAAAACGTAAGAAATTTTTCTATTTTACAATCATTTGTGATTTTATATAAAATAAATTTACAAAGGGAAACTACTCTCCATCTCTGAATTGGAAACACTTGCACTCAAAATTAAGATCAATAACAATAGTTGTGCAAAGAATAAGATTATTTAATTGAGAAATTTAGCATCTGGTAGATAGAGATTTAGAGGAACATACATTTTATTGGTTATATGTTTTCAAAGAGAATACACAATGTTTATAACGGGAGAGATTTAGAGGAACATTAATAGAATCCTGTTAACAAAATTATCTAAAATATGCAGTAATTCTTTTTCTCGTTTTTTCTTCAATGACAATAAACCCTTAAGTAGTTATAAATTTTTTGGCTAATGCTATTAGATGAACAACGATTAATTTATGATAGTGATAACAATTAACCAAAATTCAATAAAACAAGATCAAAATAGATTGGAATATCTTGCTAGCAAACTAATGCCAATGACAAAGAATTAGATTATCTCCTTTAGAATTAGCATAGGGTACATATAGATTTGGAGGAACATGCATTCTAACAGAAACAAAATTCACCTAAAGCTATTTGTTCTTTGATTTCCAAACAATTCAATAAATACTTAGAATGTTTGAATAATATCCACAAATTAAATCTTGTGCACAAAACTCTCTAAACCTTCTGATAAATAGAGATTTCAAAAATCTTGGCCAAAAATTTAATGTGCTCATAATTAAAATAAGAACAAAAGAATTTTAAGGCGTTCATAATTAGCGAGAAATATAAATTCAATAAAACAAATAAAAAACATATTAAATAGAGAAAAACCAATTACCATCATCGATGAGCCCCTTCTGATGCTGCTCCATAACTTGTAGAATATATTTGAATGTCTCGATCTCACAAGGGATCGTAAGAGCTCCCTCATGATCAAATCCAAACTCCTCCTCGGCCTTCTCCAGTAGTAACTTGAACACCGGGAGCCCTAAATATGCAGTTGGTATCACAAAACGACGGCGTTCAATACCCACATAAACTGGAATATACCCTTTTGGGACATCTACTGGGGGCTCTGGGCTTTGACCACCCTCATCGTCAGATTCCCAATTTATAGACAGACTCTTGAGCCGCCTGTTGATAACTGGAGAGATTGCAACTGCAGATACAGCTCCTCTGTCGCTTTTATGCCCGAGAGTGACTGAGTGCCACTTGTGTAGCATTTCACGTAATCTGACAATGTGTCGGATTCCTGTGACCTTGGCAGTGTTTTCGTCACCCATGGTTAGGGTCATCAGGTTTTTCGAGCTTGACACTGCATCACAGTGATCAATAAGATTATATAGATTTGAGACGAGTAAGGACAGTGATGAATAAATTAGACCATGTTGCAGTTGGAAAGATACTGAAAGATATGGTTCAGTGGTTTATGAATAAAATCATGGATAATGAACTGTGTATCAGTAAAATTCTTAATTAGGTTGTAAGACAACCAAAAGGAAGAAATGCAACGATGGAAATTTTATGATCCTTTCGAAGGAAATTGAAGAAACAATGGTGAAATCAATACTGAAAATAACTAGCAATGGACCCCAGAACAAACCGTTGAAGATCGTTAAAAGATTGATAAAATCCCTCTCCTTGTTAAGAAACTCATTGAGCAAGATAAGGATGTTTAGGTGCAATGGACTATGTAAAAACATGGATTACCCAAGAAAATTAAAAATGAGAAAAGGTGCAAGGGAAGAGTACTATAGACAACCAACCAAAAAGAGAAGATTGCCGTAACATGGACAGCACATGAATGGTGATTATGAGCCTGATATGGGATTATTAACAAGGTATATTCTCTAATTTAACAAATTCTTTGATCCATTATATGCCACAACATGCATGGTGTTTATGAGCCTGATATGGGATTCTTAACAAGGTATTTTCTCTAATTTAACAAATTCTTTGATCCATAATATGCCAAAACATGCACATGGTCCTGGTTTTTTCCCTTTCTCCTAATAAATGCATGACATTTAAAATGTACTTTAGCAAAGTATATGATATTTTTAAAATTTTTTATTTGAGGTAGTAGAACAAGTACCATGAAAGGGTAGCTAAGTGATTCATCAAACATTTTAGCAAGAAAGGACAAATGTATTCATTGTTTCATCAGAGTAACATAGTTATGACTCAACTTGTAAGTATAAATCAATGTTTAGGCGCTAAAAACTACCTGTAGTAGTCTTTTACTAAAGAACTACAGGCATTGTTACCAATATATTCTCCTGCAAATTTCTTAATTCCAATAAAATAACAACCCAGGGATCGTTTGAGCCTTTGATCGTAATCGTATTTATCATTTTTTTTAATGGATTAAACATATGAAATTATAACAAAAAAGGGATTGCAGGATTGCTCTAGTTATGGATCTCTAAACTTTTATTTGATAATAATTAAACTAATAAAAGAGGGATAATCAAGATACAATCATTACAGATCTTAATAACCCACATAATTTTCTCATCTGCAAAATGCAAATTCTCAAATTTTCAAACAATAAATGGAAAAGATTAGATATTTCCATGAGATTTCTGCTCAATGGATAAAAGCAAGAGAACTCAGAAAAGTAACTAATGAAAAATTAACAAAGATATAATCCAAGGAACAAATGCGACAAAATTACCAAATGTGAGCACATGAATAAAAAGATTGTAATTAAAAGAATTACGTACCTAATCGAAGAAAGGGGATGAATTCATTGCATTGAACCAAGAAGAGAGAACGCCATTATAGATCAGAAACAGAGAGAAGAGAAGAAGAAGAAGAAGCAAGAGAAAAGGGAATTGAAAAAGAAAAAGGAACGGAGAAGAAAAGAGCCGTTTTAATCATAAATAATATTTAGTGACTAATTTACCCTCAGCATAGATCTAATTCTCTAAAGTAACATTCGATTTCTCTGTTAATTGCCACGTGTCAACCAGGTTGCAGTCTAGTTTTAAAGATTCCTGCCACCGAAAGCGCTTCTTTATGTGACGAGAAACATAAAACTTTTCTGATGCTTCAAGCAAATAGCAAGATGACCTTTTATGTGAAGTCTTTAGAATTTTTATTAATATAATAAAATTATTTTTATATATTCGGTCGAAAATAATATGAATACTTAAATTATATTTCTGATATTCGCCCTCTAACTTGTCTTCAATTTAAAATAAGTTCATGAAAGTTGTATTTTTTTAAAGCAAAACAAAGGTATATATGTTAACAAAGTCTTCCCAATCATTTAAGTTATATCATATCAGTAAAAAAAAATATGATAAATCTTTTCAATTATCAGTTTTGAATGATATAAAAATTTATTGAATATGAGAATATTGTTCCCAAATTCATTTGTGTCACAAAGACAGACAAAATTTTGAAGGTAATAACTAGCTAGAGGTCATTCATATTGTGTGTAATTTCTCATCTTATGCGGAGAAAATTTACATTATCTAGTGTCTAAATTGGTGAGATCTCTATATTATATATTTTTTTAAGTAGATGGATATGATGAGATTTGAATTCTTTCCTAATATGAGGATGATTAATTTCCTAAGTTTGTGAGATTTGAATGAAATCAATCTGATACCAGAGCAAGGTTGAGTCTTCGCCACCTTTCCAAAACCGTCGGTCGCCGCTGCTGGGCTTCGTTGAGCCGCCACTAGGCTTTGTTGAGCCGCTGGATCGCCGCAGGATCGCCGCCGGACCGTCACTGGACTGCCGAGCAAGTGGGTAAGTTCAAAACTCTCTACAGTGGGTTTCGCTCTGGTGAATTAACTGAATATTTTTTTGTCTCACTACGGTTATCATAGTCTGCTGAAGTTAAAAAGTTTCTGTTAATTTTTTTGTGTGCTCGTGTGAAAGAACAAAGAGATTGAAATAAGAACTTTGTGTTCATCGTTCTTCTCATTTTGTTCGTGCTAGTTGCTTCACACGTTTCGAGCCGGATAATTACCGAAATCATTGTGCTAGTTGTTGTTTATTTTTCTGTGTGAAAAATGTCTGTTACTAATCAATATAGTATGATTTAATATGGTATGGCTCCGTTCAACGGAAAATCTGATTTTAGCATTTGGAAACAAAAAATAAAATGCATCTTAATTAAACAGAAGTCTTTTAGGGCTATTAGTCAGACTTATTTGACTTCTGACAGTGAAGAAAAAAGAGCTGAAATGAACGAAAATACTTGTTCCACAATTTATGTGAACTTATCTGACTTTGTGCTTAGAAAAGTTGGAATTATGGAATCTGCTAAAACCCTTTGGGATAAACTTGAAAAACTTTATACTGAAACCTCTTTGCCTAGTAAAATGTTTTTGCTTGAAAATTTTTTAAATTTAGATTGGATATGTCTAAGGATATTGAGGAGAACCTAGATGTTTTCACAAAACTTATTTCAGATATTAAGTTAACTGGTGATAAACATATAGACGACTATACTCCTATTGCCCTTATAAATGCTATTCCTGACTCATATAGTGATGTGAAATCTGCTATTAAATATGGTAGAGATGAGGTTACCCTTGACATTGTGGTAAATGGTCTTAAGAGTAAGGAATTAGATTTAAAACATTATGGGGGAAATAAAAATTCTAGTGAGGTTATGCATGTGAGGGGTAGGCCTCAAAATAGGTCTAATAATCAAAAGAATGCTAGTAATGGGGAATCAAGTAGAAAAAAAATTTGAAAATGGAAGTGGTAGATCTAAGTCCAGGTTTAAAGTTAAAAAATGTTATAATTGTCATGAAACTGGTCACTTTATTAAAGTTTGTCCTAAGCCTAAGAAAAATCAGCAAAATGATCATGCTAATATGGCTGTTTGTGAGGGCAAAATGGCTGAATTTTTCATGATTAATAATCTGTGTGATTATGCATATTTGAACTCTGTGCTATCTGATTCTTTGTGTAAATCAGATTGGCTGGTAGACTCTGATTGTACTTTTCACATGACTCCTTTTAAAAACTTATTTTCAAACTACAAGAAAATAGAGAATGGCTTTGTGTCAATGGCAAATGAAAAAAAATGCAATGTTTTAGGAACTGGTGATGTATGCCTTAGGTTTTCTTCTGGTTCTGTGTTTACTTTGAAGGATGTTAGGCATGTTCCTGATTTACGTTATAACTTGATTTCTTGTGCATCTCTAGAAAATGATGGTTTGGAGGGAAAATGGGGTAAAGGAGTTATGAAAATTATGAAAGGGTCTCTTGTTGTTTTTACTGCTGAAAAACAAAATAATTTGTATGCTTGTCATGCTGAACCTGTGCTTGATTCTGTTAACTCTGTGATAGGTGATAAATCTGTTTTATGGCATAATAGATTAGGTCACATGAGTAACAAAGGATTAGAAATTTTGCATAAAGGAGGTTACTTTGGTAATGATAAAATATCCCCCATCTCTTTCTGTGAATCTTGTGTGTTAGGAAAACAACATAGGGTTAGTTTTCCTACTTCTTCCTTTCCTAATCAGTCTAAGTGCACTAATATACTTGAATATTTGCATGCTGATGTGTGGGGTCCCTCTAGTGTTCCTACGCATGGAGGGAACCAATATTTTCTTTCCATAATTGATGATTATTCTAGGAAAGTTTGGATATTACTCATGAAACAAAAATCTAAAGTTTTTGATAAATTTAAAAACTGAAAAATTATGATTGAAAACCAAACGGGAAAGAAAATTAAAACCCTTAGGACAGACAATGGTATTGAGTTTTGTAACAAACAATTGAATGATTTGTGTACTACTTGGGTATTAAAAGACAAAGGATGAATATAACTCTTTTAGAGAGGGTGAGAGCTATGTTGGCCACATCTGGGCTCTCCAAGAAGTTTTGGGGAGAAGCTGTTTGTACTGCGGCCTATTTGATTAATAGGTCTCCTTCTGTTCCCTTAGGAGGGAAATGTCCTGAATTTGTATTCACGGGCAAACCTCTTGATTTAAATAATTTGAGAATTTTCGGGAGTGTTGGCTATGTACATCAAAAGATTGATAAGTTAGAACCTAGATCTAAAAAATGTGTTTTCTTAGGGTACCCTGAAGGGGTAAAAGGTTATAGGCTTTGGAATAAGAGTGAACCGGGGTTTAAGATAGTGATAAGCAGAGATGTTGTTTTTAATGAAAATGAATTTTCGTGTTTACCTTTACATGTTCCTATTCTTGAAAATGATGCTCCAAATGAGGTGGATCAAATGCCTATTATTAATCAACCCAAATCACCTCCTGAAGAAAAATTGAATGATATAATTATTAAAAATCAAGATGAGATTATTCCTAATGAGGTGGAGCATGATATGCAGGAAATAGATAACATGCATGATTTGAATGATTATCAACTCACTAGGGATAGAAATAAAAGAACCATTAGGAAACCTGAAAGATATAGAGATTGCAATTTGATTGATTGTAATATGTCTGAGTTTGCTTTTAATGTGTTTGAATCCATTGAGTGCAATGAACCTAAGACTTATAGAGAAGCATTAAGATCAAAATATTCTGAAGAATGGATTAGTGCTATGAAGAGTGAGATGGAATCCCTAAGAATTAACATTAGTGCTATGAAGAGTGAGATGGAATCCCTAAGAATTAACCAAACATGGAAACTTGTTCCTAAACCTACTAGTTGTTCTGTAGTGTGAGATGGAATCCCTAAGAATTAACCAAACATGGAAACTTGTTCCTAAACCTACTAGTTGTTCTGTAGTAGACTGTAAGTGGCTGTTTAAGGTGAAACAAGAACCTGAAAGTGTTAGGTTTAAGGTTATGTTAGTAGCTAAAGGATTTACTCAAAAGGAGGGAATTGATTAAATTTTTGCTCCTGTTGTCAAATTCACTACTGTTAGAATTATGCTTGCTTTAGTTGCTAATTTTAATTGGAAATTAAAACAAATGGATGTAGCTACTGCTTTCTTGTATGATGATTTAATAAAAATATTTACATGCATCAACCCGAGGGCTTTGTGGATCCTAAATTGTCTGATCATGTGTGTTTGTTAAAAAATGCTTTGTATGGTTTAAAACAATCACCTAGGAAATGGAATATTAGATTTAATAAATGCATGCAATCTTTAAAGTTTAAAAGGAGTTCTGCTGATCATTGCCTGTATTATAAGAATATAGACTTTGTGCATGTATTTCTTGTAACTTATGTGGATGACATGTTGATTGTTAGTCCTTGTTTGAAGTCTATTGAGCATGTTCAAAAATGTATTTGTGAAAATTTTGACATGAAAGACTAAGGTGATGTAAAAAGAATCCTAGGCATGAATATTATTAGGGACAAAAACAAATCTACTCTAGTTTTAAACCAAAGTTCATATGTTGAAAAAATTTTGAGTAAATTCTCTATGTCTGATGCCAAATCTGTGAACGTGCCTCTTGCTTCCCATTTTGTGTTAAGTAAGGATCTGTCCCCCAAGACTGAAACTGAAATAAATGATATGAAGAAGGTGCCATATTCGAATGCTATAGGATCGGTCATGTATCCCATGGTTAGTAGTATGCCTGACATTGCATATGCGGTTAGTTATTTGAGTAGATACATGTCAAACCATGGTATGCCTCATTGGAATACCTTGAAGTGGCTTTTAAGATATTTGAAATACTCTGTGGATGTAGGATTAACCTTCTCTAAGTGTTCTGAAGGTGTTAAACTTATTGGCTATGTAGATTCCAATTATGCAAATGATAGAGATAATAGAAAATCTACTACTTCCTATATGTTTACTATGTGTGGCTCTTGCATAAGTTGTAAATCTCAACTGCAACCCATTATTGCTTTATCTACTATTGAATCTGAGTATGTTGCTACCACTGAAGCTTTTAAAGAAGCTATTTGGC